ACATCTTGGCACCTAGTGGAGGCTAGCGGAGATGCCCCTTTAAGCATTCCATAGGATTTTGGGGTGGTCTGATAATTAGGTATATGCTAGAATTGCACGGTCTATATCCCTTCACAGCTGAAGACTATGAGGTGACTTTTCTGGACAGGCTAAATCTTCACAGCTGAGGACCATGAAGCCAAGTTCTTTAGCATATAAAAGTGAATAGTGGACAGTCTGAGCCCTCTCAGCTGAAGGCCAGAAAGCAATTCTTTAGCAAGTTGGGGCCTTACAGCTGTGGATCATAAGGCACACCTCCCTGGCATAAATGCTTCTCCGTAGTACTGGTAGAATACCAAACAGTCTCCGGCCACACAGATGAAGGCCATGAGGCCGGTCTTTTGGACTCCTGGGTACCTCATGCCAAGCATAGTAATCGATAGACAGTGCAGACTCCCAGGATCAACTTAGGGTCACTACTCACAAGCCCCCGGGACCGCTTCTAGCAACTTAGTGAGTAAGATGGGGCCTCTCTGGACCAGATTCTGAGTGCTTTGGTTCTGCGTTCAGTTTCTGAGTAGAGTCCATTTACTCCTGGAGCTTCTGAGGCTTCCTAAACCAGCTGCATGGTCCAGGGGCTGCTGGGAAGCTCTGGATCCCTCCTGCGAGGAAAGGAACTCTGGTCTGCAGTGTCTCAAATGATTTATTTCCATTATAGCCCCCTACTAGACACTCATCTCCAGGGATTGGCTGGAGGCAATCAATATTCAGGCAGGTTATCTGGATTCTCCGTAAACTCTAGAACCTCTTCCAAACTCCAAGCCTGTGAATCCTGGACAGGCCAGAACAAACAATTACCACTCCACTGATTACAGAGATAGCCAAAAACTACATCCTACCCTAGATGGGAGCTAAACTAGGGATAGTCCTTTTTTAATGGGGCAGTGATGTCCTCCTGGGAGGTGGGCCAATGAGGATAGTGCTTAGAGATAGGTTTAGTTAGAATACCTCATTTTGACTCTTAAAAAGAAAGGTCTACCGATGCGTGCTCTCATAGAACTGTGGAGTTCATGAAGTTACTCTCTGAGCCCCAAAACCCAGAACTCCTCTATCATGCATTTCCTAGTCTCTCAGTTTTTTGTCTCCTCCCCCTCATTTGCTGCCCTCTGATTGCTATGTTAAATCAATGAGTGCCATGAGTTTTGGGCTCCATAGAAGATCAGACAACCAATCAGGAGGTGCCTCCTATTACATTCAAGTGACTAGTCATTACTTCAACCCGAAACGTAGACTTGGTTTAAACTTCTTTTCAACACTTGTTGTCCCCGTCATGGGTCAGGGGTCAAGCTCCGAGACCAGTAGCTTTAGCAGTAGAGAGGCTTCCACCAACCAGCTGAATAAGTGCAGCAGCATATCACCCTGACAGATGAGATGGGCACATCTGAGGTGTGGGTCTAAGCACTCCTGATGGTGAGGATGGATTTTGTTGCATGTTAGAACCAGGTCACGGTCCTCAGGATTGCCCCACCAGGAGGTGAGCAAGCCGGGGTCCAGTAGCAGATATAGCAGGTTGAGATCAAGCAGGAGCGTAGTCAGTATACAAGCCAAAGGTTGGTAACAAGTGGCTGCAGGTTGGGATCAAGTGAATGCATAATCAATAACAAACCGAAGGCCTGTTAGAAGTGGTTGCAGGTTGGGATTAAGCAGAAGTGTGGTCAGTAAACAAGCCAAAGGTCAGTAAGAAGTGGTTGCATGTTGGGATCAAGCAGAAGCGTATTCAAGGAACAAGCCTAAGGTAGGTAAAAAGTGGTTGCAGGTGGGGATCAAGCAGAAGTGTAGTCAGTAAACAAGCCTAAGGTAGGTAAAAAGTGGTTGCAGGTGGGGATCAAGCAGAAGTGTAGTCAGTAAACAAGCCAAAGGTTGGTAACAAGTGGTTGCAGGTGGGGATCAAGCAGAAGTGTAGTCAGTAAACAAGCCAAAGGTGGGTAACAAGTGGCTGCAGGTGGGGATCAAGCAGAAGTGTAGTCAGTAAACAAGCCAAAGGTCGGTAACAAGTGGCTGCAGGTTGGGATCAAGCAGAAGTTTAGTCAGTAAACAAGCCAAAGGTCGGTAACAAGTGGTTGCAGGTGGGGATCAAGCAGAAGTGTAGTCAGTAAACAAACCAAAGGTCGGTAAGAAGTGTCTGCATGTCAGGATCAAGCAGAAGCATATTTGAGGAACAAGCCAAAAGGTCAGTAAGAAGTGGTCACAGGTTGGGGTTAAGCAGAAGCATAGTTGAGGAACAAACCAAAAGTCGGTAACTAGTGGTAGTGGAGATACAGACAGAAGAGGGCAGAGACATGGCCGAAATAGAATGTTCGTTGGAGGAGGAAAGAGTTCAATGTTCAGCAGAAACAAGATACAAGGCAGGATTGTCCAATGGCTCAAACAGGGTCCTATCCTGCATCTCAGGTGGCACAACAAGAATCACCAAATGCAGACGTAGATTGTAGGCTCAGACCGGTGTCCTGACGCATGTGTTTCCCCATGTGTGCATTTTCTACACTGAGCTCCACAACCTAAAACAAATCAAGCGTGACAATCCTTGGGTGTCACTCTCCACCCCCACTGGACTCACACAACACAGAAGGTCCAAAAAAATGTATTTATCTTTAAATTATGTTCCCATTGAAGAAAAAATGGGTTGACTTCTAACTTAAGTTTGTCAATGATATGATTTTAATTGCTGCTTTCCAGAACAGAAATGGATCCTCCGGGCTATAATAGGACCTCCTCCTCCTTCTCTCACATGGAATTTGTTCTCTTTGGATTTCCAGGAGTCACAGAGTACCGACCCCTCCTCGCTCTTCCCTTCTCCTTCATTTACGCGGTGATACTAAGTGGTAATTCTGTGGTTATGTTGGTCATCGTGTTGGAGAAAAGTCTGCACACCCCAATGTACACACTCATCTTCTCTCTCTTGGCCACCAATGCTGTGTACACCACGGCCATCACACCCAAGATGCTGCTAGGACTCTTTGGCCTTAACCAAATCACCTTGGCTGGCTGCTTGGTGCAGATATTTACTGTATACTCCAGCATCATGGCCGAGTCCACCATTGTGCTGCTTATGGCAATAGACAGGTACCTAGCCATCCACCATCCACTACATTACCAGGAGATTGTAGTCAAGCATTTAATTGCCCACTCGGCAGTCAACGGAGTGGTTCGTTATAGCTTCATGGTCCTTCCTCTGGTCATCACAGCTGCCCGACTCCGTTACTGCAGGTCCAATATGATCCATCACTTTCATTGTGAAAGCATGATGCTTATCAGCCTGGGGTGTGAGGAGTCCAAAGCCCATATCGTAGGATTGGTGGTGAGGACCCTCATGATGTTTTGTGACATCCCCATCATCCTAATTTCCTATCTGAAAGTTCTTCACACTGTTCTTAAGATTACGGTGGGAATGGCTCGGTATAAAGCCCTCCATACCTGTAGCACCCACCTGGTGGTGGTCTTCCTCATCTATTCCTCTGGATTCATAATCTCTATTCTATACCTGCCCGGGAACTCCACTTCCTACGACCTTCAAAATATCTGCAGTGCCATCTACTTTCTATTCTCAGCGACAGTCAATCCATTTATCTACGGTATACGGATGGAGGAGATCAAGAGCAATTTACGAAAATGCTGGGAGAAAAAGAAGGATCTACCGGTCAAACACATAAGACACTGAGACTGATGTCAACTCTCTCGATTGTTTTTCGGCTAGATTGTGAGCTTGTTGCAGCGGTAAGGATGGATGATCGCAAAACGTTTGCTGAACTTGATTTTGCTGCAAAATCAGCTCCAAGCTGGCCTCAAGGACTGGGATTCTTGTTTATGAACTTGTAAAGGGTGGTTTCAGAATGCTGACTGTGGTTTTGTAACGTTAGAACGAAAAAAAAAAAAATAACATACCAAAGCAACCGGTGACCAAAAGGCTTGCATTGCTTTATAACTCACACGCTGAAGTTTAGACAAGTTTTCGGAACCAAAACCAAAGCAAATTCTTCTGTAGCACCCTCCTGACCCCCAAAGGCTAGTGGGACCTTCAAGGACAGGGAGGGCTAGCATTTCACCTCTGGGTGTAGTCCTCAGCAATAGTGGAGTTATCACGTACCTGGTGATGGAGGCCAATGGAGAGAGGGCTTCCCTTGCGGCTAGGTTCCAGACTCCCCTGAGAGTGGGACAGCGGGAGTCAGGCCCAAAGTTGCACAGGTGGCCTGTAGGAGTGCTGGTTGGTGGTCCACTCAGAAACACAGCTGGTGCACGGAGATAGGTCTGCAGACAGGAGGCACCTGTGCGTGGTATGCAAGTCCTTCCGGGATTTAGGGGTTTACTGGGTTGTCGGTTCAAGCAAAGATCAGGTACCAGGTGGGAATCAGAGCAGACGTAGTCAGATGGGATAGCCGAGGTCATACACAGAGGAGAGAGAGAGAGTATCCATAAGCCAAGCCGAGGTCAGGTCAGGGGTAAGGCAGAGTAGACAGGTCCAGGAGCAAGCTGAGTGGGTAACAGGAGATCATGGGTCAAGTCACAGGAAACAGGGCACGGGGAGCTAGAGATCATCCAGCAACTAAAGGAAGTGATGAGCCTCCTTATAAAGGCCGTCTGGCACTAGACTGAGGCTGATATGTACTTCTGGGGCCATGCAGAGTACTGGCAGAAATGCCAGATCTTCCAGAACTCCTGCCATGGACAGGACCCTGACAGGAGTATTGTGTACAGAGGGGAACCAGTTACTTTTAGAGGCCAAACAATAGGAGTTTATCGACCCCCTAATCAATACTCCATGGAGAGAGGGTACCCATGGACTTCAGAAAAGGGAACCAGAAGTATTTGAAGTCTTCATGGATAGACAACGATTCAGCTGACCCAGCACTCTGCGACTATAGCTCCTGATGGTAAAGTGCTTGTTGGTTCAGCTGCCAGAACCCTGGGAAGAAGAAACTATACTCCAGTGAGGACCAAGCTTCCGATCCAGGATTCTCAAGGCACTCAAGACATCTGGAGGTCCTCCTCAATCTCCAGGTTCCACAAGTTAGGCCCCATACCCAGCCACATGTCACCGTCCCCAAAGAGGACTCGACAACTAAACACATGCCCCTCCTAGTCTCTGGTCATCCCCTGTACCGTGTCCGCGGTCTCTGGTCATCCCCTGTACCGTGTCCGCGGTTTCTGGTCATCACCTGTACCGTGTCCGGGGTCTCTGGTCATCCTCTGTACCGTGTCCGCGGTCTCTGGTCATCCCTTGTACCGTGTCCGCGGTCTCTGGTCATCCCTTGTACCGTGTCTGCGGTCTCTGTCATCCCGTGTCTGCGGTCTCTGGTCATCCCCTGTATCGTGTCTGCAGTCTCTGGTCATCCCCTGTACCGTGTCCGCAGTCTCTGGTCATCCCCTGTACCGTGTCCGCAGTCTCTGGTCTTCCCCTGTACCGTGTCCGCAGTCTCTGGTCATCTCCTGTACCGTGTCCGCAGTCTCCGGTCATCCCCTGTACCGTGTCCGCAGTCTCTGGTCATCTCCTGTACCGTGTCCGCAGTCTCCGGTCATCTCCTGTACCGTGTCTGCAGTCTCTGGTCATTTCCTGTACCGTGTCCGCAGTCTCTGGTCATCCCCTGTACCGTGTCCGCAGTCTCTGGTCATCCCCTGTACCGTGTCCGCAGTCTCCGGTCATCTCCTGTACTGTGTCCGCAGTCTCCGGTCATCTCCTGTACTATGTCTGCAGTCTCTGGTCATCCCCTGTACCGTGTCCGCAGTCTCTGGTCATCCCCTGTACCGTGTCCGCAGTCTCTGGTCATCCCCTGTACCGTGTCCGCAGTCTCTGGTCATCCCCTGTACCGTGTCCGCAGTCTCCGGTCATCTCCTGTACTGTGTCCGCAGTCTCCGGTCATCTCCTGTACTATGTCCGCAGTCTCCGGTCATCCCCTGTACCGTGTCCGCAGTCTCTGGTCATCCCCTGTACCGTGTCCGCAGTCTCTGGTCATCCCCTGTACCGTGTCCGCAGTCTCTGGTCATCCCTGTACCGTGTCCGCAGTCTCCGGTCATCTCCTGTACTGTGTCCGCAGTCTCTGGTCATCTCCTGTACCGTGTCCGCAGTCTCCAGTCATCTCCTGTACTGTGTCCGCAGTCTCTGGTCATCCCTGTACCGTGTCCGCAGTCTCCGGTCATCTCCTGTACCGTGTCCGCAGTCTCTGGTCATCTCCTGTACCGTGTCCGCAGTCTCCGGTCATCTCCTGTACCGTGTCCTCAGTCTCCGGTCATCTCCTGTACCGTGTCCGCAGTCTCCGGTTATCTCCTGTACCGTGTCCGCAGTCTCTGGTCATCTCCTGTACCGTGTCCGCAGTCTCTGGTCATCTCCTGTACCGTGTCCGCAGTCTCTGGTCCATCTCCTGTACTGTGTCCGCAGTCTCTGGTCATCTCCTGTACTATGTCCGCAGTCTCTGGTCATCTCCTGTACTATGTCCGCAGTCTCTGGTCATCTCCTGTACCGTGTCCGCAGTCTGGTCATCTCCTGTACTGTGTCCGCAGTCTCTGGTCATCCCCTGTACTGTGTCCGCAGTCTCTGGTCATCCCCTGTACTGTGTCCGCAGTCTCTGGTCATCCCCTGTACTGTGTCCGCAGTCTCTGGTCATCTCCTGTACTATGTCCGCAGTCTCTGGTCATCTCCTGTACCGTGTCCGCAGTCTCTGGTCATCTCCTGTACTGTGTCTGCAGTCTCTGGTCGTCTCCTGTACTATGTCCGCAGTCTCTGGTCATCTCCTGTACCGTGTCCGCAGTCTCTGGTCATCTCCTGTACCGTGTCCGCAGTCTCTGGTCATCTCCTTTCCCCACGGGGCCGAACGACTATCTCATCAAGTGACGTCATCCGAATGCCAAACGAATGGATCCGTTAGTTTCGACATAACATTTTTGGATTCGCTGACATTCGTTGCTGTGTCCATTCAGAGATTTGAATCTCCAAAAATAACATTTTCATCCAAAATAAATTGAGTCGTAACAAAATGAAACGCACACATCTTCTTAGGTACCCCTATCATGGCTTCTTAGGTACCTCTATCCCCCAGGCACCCAAGGGAAAGCCTACTCAACCTCAGACCAGAAGGCCTCGCGAAACACCAATTCAGACCTAGGACACATGTTTTGATGACCATTAAACCAACCAATGTGTTTTGATAACCACTAAACCAATCGAAGTCAAAAGCAGATGCCGGTGTGTGTTGCACATGATCCAATCAAAAGTTGACATCAGATCTAACAGACTCGATGCCCAAATAAAAAAAAAACAGGATCTCACATCTACCAACAGATTTTAACCAGAGCCTAGTAGAATGGTGAGGTTTATCCTTCACCAACTGAATCCTTCGTATCGACTCTGAGGCACTCACTCCCCATACCCACTCACCCCCCCCTCCTACCCCACCCGGCCCTTCTACATACCCTCCTCTAGTTTAAAACCTGGATTGCATTGCTTTCTGTTGCATATTTTCACCCCAACGTTGGGTTTGTGAGACAATAGCCAAGACATTGAGCGTTGTGAAGGTCCCAATGTAACTGATCAATCATGGCTGAGCATGCTAGTGTACGTATGTCTTGAGGGTCGATCGTACTCAGAATCTTTTAATAAAATGCTGAAACTAAAAAAAAATATATATATATTTATTACAACAATGTAAGTATCTAAAGATCACTCCTGGGTTCTGCAAGCAAAGGACCCGTTTGTCTTCGGTCAGCGCCATGATTGGCATTCTTCGTTTCTACGGCGATAAGGAAATTGTCAGGTGGTGTACGGTTAGGCGACGTCGCAGATTACCGACTTCGCAAAGGTTCTGAAGCTGTGCTGGTCTATTAAATCAGTTTATCGTCTTTTAGACCATAAGTATTGAGGGTGTACATGGTGGCAGGCAGGACCACCACTCCCAGCATTCAGGAGAAGAAGACACCCCCCCAAACCTCCTCCACCTCCTGCCTACTGACAAATGCTGGAGGAGGTAGGGAGCTGATGTGAATAGAGTCTGTACGATTGGGGGGAACTCTGTGGTGATGGGGGGCATCTAATGTAAAGGGGTGATTCTGATGTGATGGGGGGACTCTCATGTATAGGAGGGTCTCTAATGTATAGGGTGGATTCTGCAGTAAAGGGGAGACCTCAGATGTGATGGGTGAGGCTCCGATATGAAGGGGGGGGCTAGCTAAAAAAGAAAAAAAAAAATGTACAACAAGATATGTCATTATCTTCCATCCCCCATAACCAAGGACCTCCATTCCCCAACACTGAGGTCATTAAGTCCCCATAACTGAGGTCCCCCCATCACCATTAACTGATGTCCTCTATTCACTATAATTTAGGTACTCCAGCCCCCATAACTGAGGTCCCCCAGCTTCCATAATTGAGGTCCTTAAGCCCCCAAAACTGAGGTCCCCCATCTTCCATAACTGAGGTCCTCCAGCCCTTATTACTGAGCTCATCTTTCAACCATTAACAAGCTCCTCCATCACCCATAACTGAAGTCATCCATCACCAATAACTGAGGTCCTCCATTCCTCATAACTGAGATCCCCTATAGCTGAGGTCCTCCATTCTTCATAACTGAGATCCCCATAACTGAGGTCCTCCATTCCTCATAACTGAGATCCCCTATAGCTGAGGTCCTCCATTCCTCATAACTGAGATCCCCTATAACTGAGGTCCTCCATTCCTCATAACTGAGATCCCCTATAGCTGAGGTCCTCCATTCTTCATAACTGAGATCCCCCATAACTGAGATCCTCCTTTACCCATAATTGAGATCTCCCATAACTAAGGTCCCCCATCTTCCATAACTGAAGTCCCCCATCTTCTATAACTGAGGTCCTTCAGCCTCCATAACTGAGGGTCCCCATTTTCTATAAATAAGGTCAGGATTGCAGGACTCAGGAGCGCGCTACGTACAAATTGCAGGACTCGGGGGTGCGCTACGTACAAATTGCAGGACTCGGGGGGGCGCGCTACGTACAGATTGCAGGACTGGGGAGTGCGCTACGTACAGATTGCAGGACTGGGGAGTGCGCTACGTACAGATTGCAGGACTCAGGAGTGCGCTATGTACAGATTGCAGGACTCAGGAGTGCGCTACGTACAGATTGCAGGACTGGGGTGTGCGCTACGTACAGATTGCAGGACTCAGGAGTGCGCTACGTACAGATTGCAGGACTGGGGTGTGCGCTACGTACAGATTGCAGGACTGGGGTGTGCGCTACGTACAGATTGCAGGACTGGGGAGTGCGCTACAAACAGATTGCAGGACTGGGGAGTGCGCTACGTACAGATTGCAGGACTCGGGAGTGCGCTACGTACAGATTGCAGGACTCAGGAGTGCGCTACGTACAGATTGCAGGACTCGAGGGTGCGCTACGTACAGATTGCAGGACTCGAGGGTGCGCTATGTACAGATTGCAGGACTCGGGGGCGCGCTACGTACAGATTGCAGGACTGGGGAGTGCGCTACGTACAGATTGCAGGACTGGGGAGTGCGCTACGTACAGATTGCAGGACTCAGGAGTGCGCTATGTACAGATTGCAGGACTCAGGAGTGCGCTACGTACAGATTGCAGGACTGGGGGTGTGCGCTACGTACAGATTGCAGGACTCAGGAGTGCGCTACGTACAGATTGCAGGACTGGGGTGTGCGCTACGTACAGATTGCAGGACTGGGGTGTGCGCTACGTACAGATTGCAGGACTGGGGAGTGCGCTACAAACAGATTGCAGGACTGGGGAGTGCGCTACGTACAGATTGCAGGACTCGGGAGTGCGCTACGTACAGATTGCAGGACTCAGGAGTGCGCTACGTACAGATTGCAGGACTCAGGAGTGCGCTACGTACAGATTGCAGGACTCGAGGGTGCGCTATGTACAGATTGCAGGACTCGAGGGTGCGCTACGTACAGATTGCAGGACTGAGGAGTGCACTACGTACAGATTGCAGGACTGGGGAGTGCGCTACGTACAGATTGCAGGACTCAGGAGTGCGCTACGTACAGATTGCAGGACTCAGGAGTGCGCTACGTACAGATTGCAGGACTCGAGGGAGTGCGCTACGTACAGATTGCAGGACTCAGGAGTGCGCTACGTACAGATTGCAGGACTGGGGAGTGCGCTACGTACAGATTGCAGGACTCAGGAGTGCGCTACGTACAGATTGCAGGACTGAGGAGGAGTGCGCTACGTACAGATTGCAGGACTCGAGGGTGTGCTACGTACAGATTGCAGGACTCGAGGGTGCGCTACGTACAGATTGCAGGACTCAGGAGTGCGCTACGTACAGATTGCAGGACTCAGAAGTGCGCTACGTACAGATTGCAGGACTGAGGAGTGCACTACGTACAGATTGCAGGACTCAGGAGTGCGCTACATACAGATTGCAGGACTCAGGAGTGCGCTACGTACAGATTGCAGGACTGAGGAGTGCACTACGAACAGATTGCAGGACTCAGGAGTGCGCTACGTACAGATTGCAGGACTCGAGGGTGCGCTACGTACAGATTGCAGGACTCAGGAGTGCGCTACGTACAGATTGCAGGACTCGAGGGTGCGCTACGTACAGATTGCAGGACTCAGGAGTGCGCTACGTACAGATTGCAGGACTCGGGAGTGCGCTACATACAGATTGC